CAAAAAAATTTATAAATTCATACTTGCATGTGAGACTAAAGTTACAATTAAAACTTTGATTATACAATTATATATACAATATATATAAACATACTAAAAAAAAGTCCATATTTTACTAAAATAATAATATCTACTACCACTATTATATAAATATACTATCTATAGTTAAGTATTATTTACATTTATATTTTTTAAATATATAAATGGCATATTTCTCTTATTTTTTATACATAATTTTATATTATTTAATATATAAATAATAAATATTGAACGAGCCGAGCTTACGAGCCGAGCTTTAGAATGTTTGGGCTTGTTTATTAAAAATTTAACGAGCTCGAGCTCGAACGCAAAAAAAAAATTAACGAACCGAGTTCGAACAAGCTCTTACCGAGCCGAGCTCGAGCTTGTTCATGAACGGCTCTGTTCATTTGCAGCCCTAGCTGTGGGCTCTTTACAAGGGCTTGACAGTGCTGTTGCAACAAGGAATGCATGGAGTGATCATTGAATTTGTTGCTCAGCAAGTGGTGCAATTGATGGGAGAAGATACAACCGACAAATTCCCATTCAAAGGGCTGTTGGAGGATGCCAAGATCATCTTCAGGGGATGTGAATGCACCATCCAACATGTGTTCAAGGAAGGGAACTTGTGTGCAGATGCTTTAGCTAAGCAGGGAACCGCCCAACCTGAAGAAATGCTAGTGGTAAAGGAACCACCATTCGAAATTAGGAGCTACTTGGTAGCTGATATGGTTGGGCTCTCTAGTGAAAGAGCCTAGTTTCTGTTATATTTCTGCTGTACCAAAAAAAAAATAAATAAATAGACAAAGATGTGTAAGCATGTGAATTTCTAATAAAAATAACAGAACCAATGTGATAACCCGACTCCATATTATGCTTTCATTCTTTAATAATCTATGTGATTATATGTGTGGTGTGAAATTGCATGTTTAATTGTGTGAATGATATGATTTTGAATTTCTATCTGTTGGTTGTAGGAAAATCTGTTAAAATTAGAACTTTGAGCCGAAAATTGAAGGTCTTAGAGACGATAGAAACCAAAATTGATTGAATATTTGTGATCAGCATGATTTTTAGAGCCTAATATGAAGTTTTGTAAAAATTTGATTCGGAATGAATTAACTGCATTTAATTAAACTAGCAAGTTAAGTTAGAACTAATTAACCTACACTTTTAACTTAAATTAAGATAGATATATCTGAGAGCCTTAGAGAACTTAGACTTAGACTCAAAAATATCTTGTTGGGAGGTTCTAGAGAGAGAGAGAGAACAGGAGGAGAAAGGGAGAAGATCAACTAGAGGCTTGAAAGCTTGGGAATTTGAAGGGGAAATTCAACGAATTAGCTCAAGGTATGTATAAATCAACTCAAACTCTAGGAATACCTCTTCACTTGTTTAAAACTAAGACCTGAAATGGAGATTTCACACCCAAAAGAATGAAATTGAACTTGGATTCCTCGGATTTGTTTGATTTAAGAGTGAATATCTTCATATTTGTTTGTCTTGAGGTTACTTGTGAGAACTTGAGCCCTAATCTTTAGCTTTTGTAGGATTTGAACTTAAAGAGTTACTTATAAAGTGAAGCTCTAAGTGAACTTGGATGAACATGAAGAAATTCATGAAAACATGGAAGCTAGGGTTTTAAATTGAGAATTTAAGCAAGTATTAATCCAATTGAATTTGAATTAGGTACATATATCATGTTTTTGAAGTCGTTTTATATGAATCGAGCCTTGAAAATGAGTTTGGAACCTTGGAATTTGATCAATTTTTGGACTGCTCAGGGAAACCCAGAACCGCACGTGCACGGAGATCACAGCCGCACGTGCGGAACCCAGAACAAAACAGAGCCGAGCATTCTGCTTTTATTGCATGTGCGGGCTGCACGTTCGGTGAGGGGCTTTCGCACGTGCAGAAAACAGGGAGAAAATCTGTCAATTTCTATTAACCACTTTGACCCTCTAAACCTGTTTATGAGCATGTTTAGACCCTCCGAAATGTCTAAAGATAAACAGAAAATGAATGAATCGTAACATGATTAAATAAAGGAAAAGGCTAAGAAATGAATGAATTGTTTACCGAATTCGTATGTGTTATGTTGTGTAGGTCACCTGCCAAAAGGACCACCGCACGACCAATATCACTGAGTAATAGTATTATAAAGATATGCTTCAAGCATTTATTTTCCTTCTTAAAGGATATGCTTTCTGCAATTTGTATTTTGTTTGAAATAAATGAGTTTCATGAAATGTAAATGACATATGAAATGTGGGCCTGAGGCCATTCTATTTTGATATGATTTGCTTGGACCTGAGGTCATTCTGAACAGTTGTGACTATGTTGGGCCCAAGGTCATTCTGTTTATAAGATGGGCCTAAGGCCGTTTTGTTAATATGTTGGGCCTAAGACCGTGCCGTGTTATGTTGGGTCCAAGGCCATTCCGTGTTATGCTGGACCTAAGGCCGTTCCATAATGTGATTATGAACACTGTTATGAAAGATACATTTGAATGTTTTCTTAAGGCACATGCTCATTTATTAAACCTCTTTACTTTATTATTATTCATTAAGCTTTGTTCACTCCGTATTTTATATGTATGTAGGTGATCAACCTGGAGACCAACCTTAGGTCAGCCTCAGGAGTCACTTTTGTGGATCTGCACTGTCGAGCCTCCAAAACGGAGCTTTACCTTTTGCAAATTCCCGTGTGAATGTTAAACCTTTTGTTAATTTTGTTATGATGCTTGCTATGAAGATGTAACTTTAGGCCCCATTTGTTTTGGGGTGTAGAGGGTGGGATGGAATTAGGATGGAGGTGGGGCCCATTTAGTGTTGTATTTGTTTGTAGAGTTGGGGAAGGAATTACGATGGAGGAGGAGGGGATTAAGATGGAGGTTGGAAGGGAGATTGGAATGGAGGAGATGGAGGTGGTATTAGAAAAATAGTGAGGGGACTAAAAAAATTTTTATTTTTTTTATTTTTTACATATTGGGCATTTTTTTTTTTTTTTGAACATTAATGTTTAATTTTTTGTATTTTTTTGAACTTTGATGAACATGAAGAAATTCATGAAAACATGGAAGTTAGGGTTTTAAATTGGGAATTTAAGCAAGTATTAATCCAATTGAGTTTGAATTAGGTACATATATCATGTTTTTGAAGTCGTTTTATATGAATCGAGCCTTGAAAATGAGTCTGGAACCTTGGAATTTGATCAATTTTTGGACTGCTCAGGGAAACCCAGAACCGCACGTGCACGGAGCTCACAGCCGCACATGCGGAACCCAGAACAAAACAGAGCCGAGCATTCTTCTTTTATTGCATGTACGGGCTGCACGTTCGGTGAGGGGCTTCCGCACGTGCAGAAAACAAGGAGAAAATCTGTCAATTTCTGTTAACCACTTTGACCCTCTAAACCTGTTTATGAGCATGTTTAGACCCTTCGAAATGTCTAAAGATAAACAGAAAATGAATGAATCGTAAAGTGATTAAATAAAGGAAAAGGCTAAGAAATGAATGAATTGTTTACCGAATTCGTATATGTGTTATGTTGTGTAGGTCACCTGCCAAAAGGACCACCGCACGACCAATATCACTGAGTAATAGTATTATAAAGATATGCTTCAAGCATTTATTTTCCTTCTTAAAGGATATGCTTTCTGCAATTTGTATTTTGTTTGAAATGAATGAGTTTCATGAAATGTAAATGACATATGAAATGTGGGCCTGAGACCATTCTATTTTGATATGATTTGCTTGGACCTGAGGTCGTTCTGAACAGTTGTGACTATGTTGGGCCCAAGGTCGTTCTGTTTATAAGATGGGCCTAAGGCCATTTTGTTAATATGTTGGGCCTAAGACCGTTCCGTGTTATGTTGGGTCCAAGGCCGTTCCGTGTTATGCTGGACCTGAGGCCGTTCCGTGTTATGCTGGACCTGAGGCCGTTCCATAATGTGATTATGAACATTGTTATGAAAGATACATTTGAATGTTTTCGTAAGGCACATGCTCATTTATTAAATCTCTTTACTTTATTATTATTCATTAAGCTTTGCTCACTCCGTATTTTATATGTATGTAGGTGATCAACCTGGAGACCAACCTTAGGTCAGCCTCAGGAGTCACTTTTGTGGATCTGCACTGTCGAGCCTCCAAAATGGAGCTTTACCTTTTGCAAATTCCCGTGTGAATGTTAAACCTTTTGTTAATTTTGTTATGATGCTTGCTATGAAGATGTAACTTTAGGCCCCATTTGTTTTGGGGTGTAGAGGGTGGGATGGAATTAGGATGGAGGTGGGGCCCATTTAGTGTTGTGTTTGTTTGTAGAGTTGGGAAAAGGATTACGATGGAGGAGGGGATTAAGATGGAGGTTGGAAGGGAGATTGGAATGGAGGAGATGGAGGTGGTATTAGAAAAATAGTGAGGGGACTAAAAAAATTTTTATTTTTTTTATTTTTTACATATTGGGCATTTTTTTTTTTTTTTGAACATTAATGTTTAATTTTTTGTATTTTTTTATTTGTTTTATTAGTTTATGTAAAAATAATTTAGCAATTCCTACACTAACAACTATCATCAAAACAAACACAATTTTACTTAATCATCTCACTATCAATCCCCTCACTATTAATTCCCTCACTATGAATCCCCTCCATTCTACCTCTGAAAACAAACGGGGCCTTAAGATGATAACTCCTTATGTATAAGTTTTGTTAGGATACCTAATATGTATTGTGTGTGATTATGTTAACTTGGACATGTAAGCACTGCTCAATGGACATTATGCTATATTATTTGCTTACGCTTAGGCTCCATTATTGTAAACTTTATGTAATCTGTCTTAGGTCGTAGGTAATCAAGGAATTACTGGCCGGTTATAATCCAAACTTTTAGGGGCGAGTTTGGATTGTGACGACCAATAAGTGGAAAAAGATTTTGACCAATGAGGAATACATGCACATGGGTCACAATTATGGGATTTTCTAATCATATAGATCCATAAAAGGTTAAAAAATCACTCATTTTTATAAATTTAGTTTTCTAAAATGAAATTCTAGAAAAGAGAAGGAGAAGGGGATAGAAGAAATTTGTGAGCAAGTTAATCGAACCACTAAAATTCTTTTTCCTCCCAATACATTTTGCATAGGAAACACAGTAGCAGGAAGTTAGCCACTAAAATAGGGCATTATGTAAAATATTGGCGTTTTTTGCTGAATTGCCATCAAGCTATCGGGTCTGCTTTCTGATGCGCTCACTATTGCAACCCTACATAAACCTTGCTCTGTCACACAGTAAGCTTAACAACAACAACAAAAAAATTATTTTGTTACATTTTTTTATTTTTGTAAAATTATGAAAATGTTCTCCTATTATTGATTTTAAAAATCACTCATTTTTATAAATCTTATTATAAAGGGCAAATTACGAGGATTGTCCCTGTATTTTGGTCCTTATCTTTTTTTGGTTCCTATAATTTCAATTGACTTGATTTTAAGCATCAATTTGTGACTATAATTTGGTCTAATTTATTACAACTCGTAGCATTTTTTTATTATTATAGAAAATACGTACATAAGTGACATGCCACATTTTTAAAAATAAAAATAATAAATTTACTCAACTCAGTGAGTTAATCTTAACCATTTAGGTGATAATTTCCTGTCAAAAACACTAACCACATTATTGATTGAACCAAATAGACAAAATTATAAATTTAGGGTCAAAATTGAGTCAATTGAAAATGTACAGACCAAAATAATACAAGGGGCAAACTATAGGACCATCGGTGTAATTTGACCTATTATAAATCTAGTTTTTTAATTTACAGTATCAAATTTACAAGAAAAACTCTTGGTTTTGTTGCACGTACACGAATTTGGGACCAAATGCATCACAGTTTACTCTGTATGTTACCAGTTCTTTTCTTTTAAGCAACAGTCCAAATAATTGGAACCCCACTTATGAATTTCCAAACCATTCCATTCCATCGCTATCCTTGAAAAGCTGCATCTAATTGATTACGCCATCTTAAAGACTAGCTCAGAGGATGGATACCTAATTCCCAGATCCAAACACTGTATATACATACATATATACATATATACACATATTATATACATACATACACAAACACACATGTATGGAATATAGGTTATGATGATAGATCTATGGCAGAGTAAGCAAATAAAAACGTTAAAACTCTGGAAAACAATATAAGAGAACAGAAATGCCAATCTTCATGATTAGGATTTTCATGATTAGGAAGAACAAGAAATAGAGAACTCATACCTATTATTCTGTTCAAATACCAATCTTCAGTGAACAACTATTGGATTTAGCTAATCTTCTTTGCCCCAAATGCCAAAACCTAACGACAAATTGGTGATTTTTATATTGAGATTATAAACCGAAATCTCACTACAGAGTATAGATTTCTGACATAGCATAATTAGGTCGCGCCCGCGCACACACACACCAAAAATAAAAAATAAAAATAAAAATAAAAATAAAAATAAAAAAGGAAGTGGAAAGTAGAGAGAGAATCAACTACCGAGCCAGAATGAAGTGGCGATGGTGTAGCACAGCAACAGAAAACGGCAGAAACCCGACGGTCACCTGAAAATGAATGAACACTCCGGTTAGGAGTGCCGGAATTAGCACTTCGACGGATAAGTCAGTATATACTCTCTTGGTTGCTTATATCTTAAGTTAAACTTGTTCTCACGTACCTCGTGTTAGCTGATACTTTCTTTATTTATAGTTGTCCTTGATGTCCACGGTTAGGCCCACCTTTCTTCCAATGAATAATCTCTCATTCGGCTAACTGTTCTTACTCGGCCAGGTCTACAGCTGATAATTCGACTGATCTGGTTACTCGGCCTCTGTCCCTCCCTGATGGAGCCGTATAGTTCACAACTTGGTTTCTCTCTTCAATCTATTCGGCTTCCGTGCGTAACAAAATATATTCGGCCACCACATCACCGTTTACTAAAGTTAACTATTTGAACATTTTATAATCGTCACTTTTTATAATATATATATATTTATGATAATCTCAACATCAAAACCTGATTATTATCTTTTTCAATAAATATGATCAAGTAACTTGTTACAAACTTTCATCTTATTACGCAATTTGGTTTTGAAAAAATTTAAAATCGAAAATGTATATTTTTATGAGTATAATGATAATCCGTTTCAATAAGAGTATCAAATTTTATGAACTTATTTTAAAAATGTTATGTTGAAGTAGACAATATTCCTATTCTAGAGAATAAACAATAAGAATGAATGCAAAATAAGATGCATAAGCAAATTATATTGTGATTTATAAAAGAAGAAGAAAAAAACATAAATGACATATAAGCAGAAAACAAAAATAGTAACAAATAAAAGAATATAAGTAACTCTAAATATATAGAAATATAACAAATAATACAAATTACAAATAGCATATATCAATATTTGATAAAACTCAATTTAGAAACTATTTTTAAAATTTTGTAATGTAAATAATTTGAAGGGTGTGAACTACTAAAATTTTAGGGATGCAAAGTATTCCAATTTAAAATTATCTTATTAATTACTAATATAATATACATAATTTTAAAAAAAATTAGGGGTGTGACCGCACCCTCTAGATCCGTCCTTGGATGTCATTAATTACAAAAATATCATTTTCCTGTTTTTCTATACTTTTGTACCAAGATTAGTAAGGATAGATGGAAGTCCAAACAATGAATAATTATCTATTATTCCAAAAACAGCACCATGTCTCTACCTAAGAATAGGAGGCATGCAATCACTTTCGAAGAAAAATAAAAACAACTTGAGAAGTTACTAGAGCTGCTGGCGATGAAGTTATGAAGCCAACCATCTAAACTCTAGAGAATTGCATAAACGAAGGCAAGAACACTCATGCACATGAGAAGTTATCTAGTAAGTTGGGCCTATCATGTGATTGTGTGCCCACTCAATAGTAAAGGGACACGAAATTATTTTGTCTAAAATATAAGAGAAATAATAGTCAGAGGAAGTAGTTACGTATAACTCAACAATTCAAAAGGACATACAATGTATAATATAAGTGGAATCTACTAAAAAAAAAAAATTCCATGCACATTGTAGGCAAGTTGATGTCCACACATCTTTTTGAAAAGGGTCGTGATTCATAACTGACTTCCGCCTACTTATCCTTCGTACGGTTGGTTGAGTCCTCGAATCTCATTCAGCCGAGAGATTCCTGACGACGAAGCATCGAAGATCACCGGAGGAAAGCTGGAAAATAAGGACGTTGCTCCGGAATCGTCAGATCCGGAAGTTTCTGGGAAGGATTTTGGTGATTTCGAGTTCAAACTTGAAGATCCGGTTCAATATTGACAAGGACCTTGCAGTGATCAGCATCGAGGCCAACATCAAAAGAGGTAGGGTGGCCTTTATTGACAGATTCCGAGGTGAAGAGGAAACTATCCATATCTAGACTGTGTAAAAGCAGAGATTTGAAAATAGAGAGAGGTTTGAATTGGTTGAGACCCGGCGGGCGGTCAAGGCAAGGTTGCCGCCCGCCGGAAGGCGAAGAACACCAAGATCTTTAACCTATAGCTCTAATACCATGTAAGAATTTATGTATTATTGATTGATATCTTGATATGTTACAATGATTCCTATATATAGAAGAGAGGATGTGGGAAGAGAATAGGTGAGTGTGTAGTAGGTATGGAGTAGGTGAGGAGTAGGTGGAGAGTAGGTGAAGTAGGTGAGTGTGTAGTAGGTGGTAGCGGTAGGTGTGTAGTAGGTGAATTTTAACACCAACCATCTAAACTCTAGAGAATTGCATAAACGAAGGCAAGAACACTCATGCACATGAGAAGTTATCTAGTAAGTTGGGCCTATCATGTGATTGTGTACCCACTCAATAGTAAAGGGACACGAAATTATTTTGTCTAAAATATAAGAGAAATAATAGTCAGAGGAAGTAGTTACGTATAACTCAACAATTCAAAAGGACATACAATGTATAATATAAGTGGAATCTACTAAAAAAAAAAAATTCCATGCACATTGTAGGCAAGTTGATGTCCACACATCTTTTTGAAAAGGGTCGTGATTCATAACTGAGGCATGTGACAAGACCAACGGTCATGAGAATTGAAAATTCATTTGACAGAATAGCCAATTGGTTTTTTCCAAGGTCCCACTAAAAAATATGGGCGGTGTTGCATGTATCAATTAATGTATACACTAGTGTATCAACTAGTGTTATGCCATTATTATTGACCCCACCTATTATGTTTATTCATTTCTTTTAATAGGAGTAGGAATAGCAATACCATTTTAAATAGGAGTAGTTCCAATAACTGTATCTGTAGGAGTAAAGTACTTCGTAAGAGTAGCAGTAAGGTACAATTCCTTTGTAATTGAATTGTTTTTGAGAGGGTAATTTATATGTAAATTGGGCCGAGTTGGGTAGTGGGCCGTTCTATGGGCCACGATAAGAAGGGTAGGGTAAAAAGGGCCCAGGAGTTAGCCCGGTCATAGAAAGCCTCGTAGTTAGCCCGGTCGGCGGTCCCAGAGAGCATTGTAGTTAGCCCGGTCCCAAAAGGGCTTTGCGGTTAACTTGGTCACCACGGCTAAAGTGACAACAGTTAGCTCGGTCACACCTTTTGAGCCGAGGTATGTAGAAGCCTACCACAAGACCTTGCTATTAGTTAGCTCGGTCCAAACTCATCATGGTTAGCACGGTTTTAGACAACCCAGCGCCGAGGTACATGCAGTGAAAGGAAGAACCGAGATAGTTGAAGCTCAGTCTATTCTGCGGCTTTAGTATAGCCATGTTATCTCGGTCATATTGACATCCGACCATAGTAAAACCATCTCACTTGGTTTAAGCAGTGACGGGGGTGTTGAAGGATAAGCATTATCTTTCTGGAAAGTGATTCCTAGGAGGACTCTGCATGGAGGAGTAAGAGTCCTACAAGGATTGTGCTACGTGGAACCTATAAAAGCCTACAAGGAAGTAACACAACTTTCATTCTCGAATACACAGAGCTTTTGCTTATTTGTCTATTTTGCTGACTTAGGCATCGGAGAGGTATCTGGCACACACCCGCCGGCTAGCTCACGTTTGTGTTTTCAGGGAATAAAGCGACGTCATACGGAGGAATGCAGACTTGATCAACAGGATTATACGAGAAGAATATTTCTTGCTCGTACAATTGGCGCCGTCTGTGGGAATATCAGACAAAAAACAAAACCTCTTGATCAAGTTTCCCTCGCTAATTAGGAGCAATAGCGCACAACGAAGATTTGCCGCAATCCGCCATCGACGGACAAACCCTAGAGGGGGGTGGGAGGCGCGAAGGTCTGCCTTCTATCCCTCCCATGTTGGACTTAGAGCCCTCGCGGAAGAACCCCCGAAGGGATGCAAGGGGGAGGCGGAACAACAGCCCCCGTCACTCTCGCTCACAAAGTCCTGAAAGGCAAAGGCGAAGAATCGACCCTCAAGCTCGAGGATCGTGTGAAAGAGCAGGATGAATTAATAAGGAAGATGGCGGCGGATATAGAGGCCATGAAGCGCCAGATCAAGGGAAAAGGGGTGGCGACAAGAGAGGGGCGTAAAGGCAACACGGCCCCTCGCTACCTAGAAGATCACAGTAGGCATACCACGCCACCACAAGCAGAGAATAGGAACCTCAGAACAGGCGACACTCAATCCAGAACTTCCAGAACTCGTCACTCCAGATCTGAGAGGACGAGATCTGAAAGGTCATGCACAGAGGGAAGCACCTATCGGCCCTCGCGCACATACTAGACATCATCCAGGCAGACGGAGTTACCTAGATCGTCCGACTTACGAACTGTGCTAGATGAAAGGGCACGATGGAAGGAGGATGCCAGGGCGCGCGACCCGCATAGAGTTTTTGCCCTTCAGCGGTTGGCTCCTCGGACGCATGGAAGCGTCGAGGTAGGAATGCCAATACCGTACCCTGCTTACGAACCTACGGACAAAGCATTAGCGATGCTGCAGACCTCGCCGTTCGTTCCGGCAATTGAGAACGCGCCCTTACCTTCCGGCTTCCTGCAGCCCAAATTCACCACGTATAAGGGGAAGACGGACCCCTACTCACACTTGAGCCACTTTCGCCAGGTTATAGCTGCATACCGACGAAACGAGGCTTTGATATGCATCCTATTTCCATCCAGCCTTGGCGACCTCGGATTAAACTGGTTCGAAAGGCTACCAGAAGGCAGCATCGCCTCCTGGGCACAATTAGCAAAGGCGTTCGTGACAAGGTTCAGGACGAACACCAAAACGCCAGTTGACACCAGCTTCTCTCTATTGACATGGGCGACAAGGAGACATTAAGATCTTACAATAGTCGCTATTGGGAGACCTTCAACCAGATTGGGGATTGCCCTACCAATCTCGCCATCGCGCAGTACAAAAGAGGTCTTCCAGTCGGGAACAGGCTGAGGGACTCAATCACCATGACGCCACCCCTCACAATGGAGGCCTTAATGGAGAGGGTACACCAGCACATTCGGGTGGAGGAGGATGGCGCCCGTGCTAAAACAAAGTCTGGTACAACCGCGGTACAACCGCAGTACCAAACAAAAAGACCACGACGAAAGTCAATGCGGTAGAACGTCCAAGCAGAAACGGGCGAGGCAGGCGAGACAATGGTGAGGACCAGGATAAAAGATGGTTGAGAGTCCGCACTGCCATTACCACGGTATTCAAAAAATCGATCTATCAGATTCTAAGCGAGATATGCGATGAACCTTTTGTCAGATGGCCAGCTAAGCTGGGAGAAGCGCAAAAGGACTACGACGAAAGATCCCGGTGCACCTTTCATAAGGAAAAGGGGCACCGCACTGAAAATTGCACACCATTGAGGCAGCATCTAGAGGAGTTTGTGGCAGCCGGTCATCTGGACAAGTACATTGAGGGAGGGACGCAGCCAGCCCCCCAGGACCACAACAACCCAAACGGAATGCCAATCGATGCCCCACCTCAAGGCGTGATCAACGTAATCCATGGGGTATTCGAACCTGAGTGCGTATGCGAGCTCAGGGGCATGATCGAGAAGGCTGAGCACTTAAGGGAGGTATTACGTGCCCAACCTACCATCAAAAAGGGGAGAACAGAAGCCACGAACGTCATATCTTTTTCAGATAGAGACTTGGCAAGGATATATTGCCCTCACAATGATGTACTGGTTGTCACTCTCCGAGTCAAGGATTTTGACGTCAAGCGGATTTTGATTGACCAAGGGAGCTCATGTGAGATAATGTACTACGAAACATTCAATCAATTGAAACTAAAAGACAAAGACTTGGCACCTGCTATATCTCCCCTGATCGGATTCAACTCAATGCCAGAATGGCCAATTGGCAAGATAATCCTCCCAGTCAGAGCAGGAAGCGTGACGAAACAAGTGGAATTCTGGGTATTGAAAGTCCCTTCCACTTAAAACATAATCTTGGGAAGAACATGGTTGCATGCCATGAGATCAGTAGCATCATCCTACCATCAAGTAATGCAGTTCCCCAACGAAGCCGGAGTAATTGAAGAGGTCTTTGGAGACCAAATTATGTTCAAGCAATGCTTCGTCACAGTAAATGGCAGCCGAGCTGCCAAGGGGTTTGTTCAGATGGTGGAAGAACCAGAGAGCAACGAATTGTTCGCGGATGTTGGCAAAGCCGCTGAACAGAAGGCAGTGGAAGACTTGGTACAAGTAAGAATAGATGAAAAGAACCCGAATAAGTTCTTTTTGCTTGGCTCATCTATGTCCAGCACTGAGAGAATAGAGGTCATGGACTTCTTGGCCTCTAACATCGAAGTATTTGCCTGAACGTCGTATAGCATTGACCCAAGCTTCATCTGTCACCAATTGAACGTCCACCCAACCGCCAGACCAATCATTCAGCGCACTCGCAGATTGGCACTCCACCACGCCGAGATAGTGGCGGAAGAAGTAGGAAACCTACTGAAGGCAGGGGCTATCAGAGAGGTACACTACCCCAGATGGATCTCCAATACAGTGGTGGTGCCAAAAAAGAATCGAAAATGGCGCGTCTGCGTAGACTACAAAACAGTCAACAAGGCATGCCCAAAGGACAGCTTCCCTCTACCCCCGGATAGATCAACTGGTAGACCTAACGGCAGGGCACAACCGACTTAGTTTTCTTGATGCGTACAGAGGCTACCATCAGATCGCTATGTATGAACCAGATCAGGAGGTCACATCTTTTACAACGCCAAGAGGACTGTACTGCTACAAGGTCATGCCCTTTGGCCTAAAGAACGCAGGGCAACATTCCAACGGTTGGTCACCAAGATGTTTGAACCATTGTTAGGCAGAACAATGGAGGCTTACATCGACGACATGGTGGTCAAGAGCAAGGATAAGAATGACCATCTCAAGGACCTAGGTGAGATGTTTCAGATCCTGAAGAAGCACAAGTTGCGCCTAAATGCGTCCAAATGTGCGTTCGGTGTACGATCTAGCAAATTTCTGGGCTTCTTGGTGACCAACCGAGGTATTGAGGCAGACCCCTCTCAAATCAAAACAATTCAGGATCTGGAGAGGCCCAACTCAGTGAAAGAAGTGCAGCTTCTCACCGGCATGACAGCTGCACTCAACCGATTCATAAGCCGGTCGTCGGACAGATGTCGACCATTTTTTCAAGTATTAAAAGCCAAATTCGAGTGGGACGAAGAATGCGACCGCGCTCTAGAAAGTTTGAAAGAATATATGTCTTCTCCACCACTGCTTGTGACCCCAATACCTGGAGAAGAACTCTTTCTGTACCTGGCAGTTTCACAACACGCAATTAGCGCAGTGCTGGTCCGAGCAGAAGGAATCCAACATCTGCCCATCTTTTATGTCAGCAAGACATTACTAGGCGCAAAAACAAAGTGCTTACCACTGGAAAAACTGGCCCTAGCCTTGATGATGGCCTCAAGAAAGTTGTCGCATTACTTTCACGCCGACACCATACTCGTCCTCACAGCCTTTCCATTAAAAGTTTTGTTTGAGAGGGCAAACTTTTCTGGGCGGATCCTAAAGTAGGCAGTAGAGTTGAGACAATTTGACATCAAGTTCCAACCCAAAACCGCGATAAAAGCCCAAGCCTTGGCAGACTTTGTCGCAGAATTCACCCCAAGAAGTCATCATATCTGCCCAGTCGACCTGACTGATACAACTGAACTAGGGTTAGAAGTTGAAGCCGGAATAGCGCAACCCCTTGTGCAGGATACCCAGTCAGACCCTAAGGCAGACCAGAGTAAAGTAAGGGAGGAAGAAGCAAACCATGCTACACTAAGTCAAGACTCACCAGCAAATAAAGACTTGGTACAATCAGATACCGAGGGGCAAACAGCAAGCATAGACATTGAACGAAACACCAGCAACACTTTTGAAGGCATCATCTGATCCCTCCACTTGCTGGAAACTGTTCGTTGGAGAGATGTGGAAGCTCTTCGTGGACGGAGCGTCCAACAGGCACGGTGCAGGACTAGGCATAGTCCTCATCTCACCAGATGGCCTAGTGGTGGAGCAAGCAGTCAACATTGGCTTTCCGGCATCAAACAACGAAGCGAAATATGAAGCGCTTCTGGCAGGCTTAAAATCAGCATCCTACATGAAGGCCACCGAGCTAATGGTTTACAGTGACTCACAGTTGGTGGTAAACTAAATTTCAGGTGACTACGAGGTAAAGGATGACAGGATAGCTAAGTACCAAGATTTAGTCAGAAAAGAGATCAAGAAATTTGAAGCAGTACGAATAGAGCAAATCGACAAGGAAGAAAACAGCAGAGCGGACGAACTAGCAGACTTTGCTTCAATGACAGATACCTCCATCCCTCATCCATTGCTGATTGACTACCTACCAAAACCAAGCATTGAAGAACCCGAAGTAGAAGAGGTATGTTGTGCCGAACTGGGCCCTTCGTGGATGGATCCCATCATACTGTTCCTAAAAGACGGCGTCTTACCAGAAGAAAAGAAAGAGACCAACAAAATAAGAGCAAAGTCACAGCGATTTTGGTTCTCCCCATCAATGGCCTTATACAAGAAGTCATTCACAGGACCTTACCTAAAGTGTGTCCACCCCAGCAAAATTGAAGCCTTCTTGTTCGAGATACACGAAGGCGTATGCGGAAGCCATCAAGGAGGAAGATCATTAGCTTACAGAGTCATTTTGCAAAGATATTGGTGGCCTTACATGCAAGCAGATTCAGAGAAGTATGTCAAGAAGTGCGAGAAATGTCAGAAATTCGCACACCAAATACATCAGCTAGCCAGAGAACTCCTATCATTAACAAGCCCATGGCCCTTTGCAATGTAGGGCTTGGACATAGTAAGACCACTTCCAACGGCACCCGGCAACAGAAAGTTCTTCCTTGCTGTAACAGACTACTTCACAAAGTGGGTGGAGGCAGAAACATTGGCATCAATAAAGGAGAAGGATGTGAAAAAATTCGTCTGGCAGAATATCATCACTCGGTTCGGCATACCAAAAGCTCTAATATCGGACAACGGCACTCAGTTCAATGGCAGAATCTTTGGAGGCTTTTGTGCAGAATACAAGATAGAATTCTACAACTCTACACCAACATACCCACAAGCAAATGGCCAAGCAGAAGCATCAAACAAAGTGGTCTTGGACGGATTGAAGAAAAGATTAGAGAAAGCAAAAGGCAAGTGGGCTGAGGAGCTTCTCCACGTTTTATGGGCTTACCGTACCACACCTCGGCAATCTACTGGCGAAACACCCTTTTCCTTGGCCTATGGCATGGAAGCAATAATCCCACTGGAAGTTGGCCTCCCCACAATTAGAAGTGAAAATTTTTACCCAGACTTAAATGGAAAAGCCATAGCATTGGAGCTCAATCTTGCGGAAGAAAGAAGAGAAAGAGCACAGGTTCACATTGCCTCATACCAGCAAGAGTTGTCTAGAAAGTATAACAAAACAGTACATCCAAGACAATTCAAAATCGGAGATTGGGTACTACGCAAAGTGATGGGAAACACCTTGGTGCCCGGAGATGGCAAGTTAGGGCCTAATTGGGAAGGACCTTACAAGGTGATTGGAATAGCAGGAAAAGGGACATACCACTTGGAAGATAAAGACAGCAAAGCCATTCCCAAGTCATGGAACACTGCCAATCTTAAACTATTTTAGTTTTAGCCTTTCAATACTTGTAATTTTTCTTTTTCTCAATAAAACAAGTAGTTTTCTTTTCAGCGTAATTGTTTTATTCTGTAAAAGTTGTTTTAGAGAACTAGGGGCAACAAAAACATAGTTGGCCGGAATAACCAACTTTGTCCTCTCCTAAGCCCAGGATAAGGATCCAGGCTGCAGGAAGTTTGGTAGGAAAAACCAAACACTTTACTCTAGGTTGGCAGGAAAAACCAACTTAGAGGTTGGCTGGAAAAATCAACACCCCTCCTAAGCCCAGGATAAGGATCCAGACTGCAAGAAGTTTAGCAGGAAAAACCAAACACTTTACTCTAGGTTGGCAGGAAAAACCAACTTAGAGGTTGGCTGGAAAAACCAACACCCCTCCTAAGCCCAGGATAAGGATCCAGACTACAAGACGTTTGGTCACTATAACCAAACACTTCACTCCAGGTTGGCAGGAAAAACCAATACCCCTCCTAAGCCCAAGATAAGGATCCAGGCTGCAGGACGTTTGGCCAGAATAACCAAACACTTTACTCTAGGTTGGCAGGAAAAACCAACTTAGAGGTTGGTTGGAAAAACCAACACTTAGTACTCTTCAAACCGAAATAAGGATTCAGGCTGAAGAATGGTTGGCTGGAAAAACCAACACTTAGTACTCTTCAACCGAAATAAAGATTAAGGCTGAAGAGTGGTTGGCTGGAAAAACCAACACTTAGTACTCTTCAACCGAGATAAGGACTCAGGCTGAAGAGTGGTTGGTTGGAAAAACCAACACTTAGTACTCTTCAACCGAAATAAGGACTCAGGCTGAAGAGTGGTTGGCGGGAAAAACCAACACTTAGTACTCTTCAACCGAGATAAAAATCAAGGCTGAAGAGTAGTTGGCTGGAAAAAGGTTGGCAGGTATGGCCAGTCAAATTGCAAAGTTAAGACCGCGATAAAGTATCTTGGCCGGAGAATGTTATACCTTACTCAAATTACAATTAGAAAGTAAGTATACGCATGAAAGTAAACCGAGATAACAGTTGAAACCAACAGAAGCTTTCATTGAAAATTCAAAAAAAGTACAAAAGAAGGACCTCAGCCCGGTTACAGTTTTTTCTTTCCAACCGCAAAAATAAAAAATTACAGAGATTAAGCAAAAAGGTCATTTAAATCAGTATCAAGAACAACGCGGTCTTCACCCAGGGGTAGCTTGGTTGTGGCAGGCACCTCTTAGTTAAGATCAGTTGAAAGATCCGCATCAGCAGGCAAAGGCGGGATGGAGACCTCTGGAGTTGGGGAGGTAGACTAGCGACCGGGCTGAGTGTTGTCTTCTACAGCTTCATCTTCATCCCCTTCCAGAAATTTTTGCTGAATGTCAGCAGCGTACTCCGCCATAGCGCTCGGTACAAAGTATGGAGGAGGATTGAAGACCTCGGTCTCTGAACCCTGACCGAGCTGTACCACGGCCGCCCTCCACCCGCATTTGAAGAACAAGTCCTTCGCAGCTTCACGCTGCTTGATGTACAGGGCTTCGCCCTCTTTAAAACCGCGGTCTTCCGCGTCCTCTAGCTTCTTCTCAAGCTTTGTTATTTCGGCACTCTTTTTTCCTTCAAGCTTGGCCAGCTCGCGCAAGTATTTATCTTTCATCACGGCAAGGGCCTTCTGTTTATCAGCATCAACCGAGGTAACTAGCCCAGTGAGCCGAGCTACCTCGGTCTCTAGCTCGGCCACCTTCTGTTGGGACGCTTTCAGCTCGGCCGCCTTTTCATTTGCCTCGACCATGGCTTGCCTAGTAGTTTTTTGAAGTTCCAACACTCGCTTGTGAGCGATGTGGTTTTTCTGTATGGCCTGCAAAAGGATGGTAAGACACTTTTTCAATATAACCGAGCTGAAAGTTATAAAAATTTCTTTGGAAAAAATAAGTAAAGGGGCAACTTACCAGCACCATTGATTTTGTGGATGAGCGAAGGGCCTTCAGCTCGGTTAGGTGGTCGTGGTGCCTCATGTCGGCTGGAAGGCAAACACCTTTAGCCAAGTTGAATGCCATCAGACGGTCTTTTTCTGCGACCACTAAGTCAGAATCCGTGATAGCACGGTTCTGAAAAGTGATCTTTGGAGCCCACTTGGAAGAGCTAGCTCGGTCAGAGCGCTCCGGTTGTGGGCTCAGTGGAGGGCTTAGCGGAAGGATGGTATCTTCTTCATCAACAAGGCGTGGCTCAGTCGTGGAAGTCCGAGCACGCTTGTTTGGACGAGATGATGAGGGTTGATGGGATGGACGGGCCACCACGGTCTCTTGAGTCTGACCGGCTGGTGGTACCTCGGGTTGGTTTGTTTCGGTCAGGAGGGCCCTCACAGCTCGTTTCTTGGCCATTTCTTGTTCGGCGGTTAGTGGGATGAGATTGATTTGAGGCAAGGATGGGTCTGGTTCAGGAGAGACTTCCAACAAGAAGTCAGTTACCTTGGTCTTTCGTTTACCACTGTATCGGTAGGTTGGCTCAAAATTCAGTAACTCAGTCCAACTCCGGTTTGGATATCGCAGCGCGGCGCGAAGAACATTCAAGTCGGGGTAGCTGTATTGGAACTTGAGAAAGTTCAAATCTACATGAAGGAAGACAACAGTTAGTTCGGTTCAGTAAGTGAAAACCAAAGTATAAGAAAAGCATGCAATGAAGCCGAGGTAACTCTACCGGCTACACCCTTATTCCAATTTATTCTGTGGCCAGGAATCTGGACTTGTTGGTCCTCAAAATTCCCAGATACCCAGAAGAAATCATCATCATTCACGTCTTTATCCGGGGTATCTTTTATTATTTTTTCACACCGGTGCCTTATTCGTAAATAGTAAACCCAGCCATCTTCGGCCGAGCCTATGGAGTATTGATGGAAGAGCTCGGCTAGACCGAGATTAAGGCCAGCTCGGTTGTTTAGCTCGGCAATACCGTTTATTATGCGGTAAGAATTGGTGGAAAGTTGGGTAGGACAGAGCTTGGTTTGCCTAAGGAATTCACAAAGAAGAGGCTGTATAGGGAATCGCAGACCGCACTCTACGATGGAAATGACGTTAAAAGGGACAAAGCCTTGTTTTCCCCAGGGGACGGTGTCTAGTTCGGCCAGTGAAAGGTGGACATCATCCGAAATTTGGTAGTCCTTACGGAATTCGGCTATGGCCCCTGGTGAGTTTACTAAGAACCTATATTTACCCATTGGTTATTAAATTATCAAAAAATTAGCTGAAGGATTAGCTCGGTCAAGAAAGGGTGCCTAGTAGCTCGGTTGAGCAATCAGAGGAGTGCCTGGCCAACCTAAGTCTGCAAAGTGAAAAAAGAAAGGTGTTAAGCACAGATCGCTGGACCGTACTAAAAGAAACAAAAAGCAAGGTAAATAACGACCTAGCTCGGCTATGTGAGATGTTATCCAGTCCTAGCTCGGTTTAAGCTAGAGGTATTAGCCCGATTAAGCCTTTGGGGCAGCATTCTTAGTTCGGTTTGAACTAAGGGAGCTGGCTTAGCCCCAAGTATTAGCTCGGTCGGTCATTTGAGGTATTTTAGCACAGTATTGCGCAAACCTAGTGCGGTTCACTAGCTCGGCTAAATTAAGCAGGCAGTACTAAGACTTGTTGAAATTACAAGAATAAAGTAAAGTTTTAGTCCGGTTATACAGTGCTGCTAGGTTCGTACCTAATACGAACAACTTCCTAGTTCGGTTGAAATGTGATTTTGGATCAAATACATCGTTCTACAGGTGGTTCATAAGTGCAATGGTTCTATTACGTAAGTTCTTTTCAGAAACAGGAAGCAAAAATGGTATGTGCTTTGAAAAACATGCAAATACGCATGTTGTGTGTTGCAAAACAGATGCGAAATCAACAAAAAGGAAACAGATCTGAGCAAACTTACCAGCTCAAAATGGAGGCAAGTTGATGAAGATCCAAGTTGCAGAGAAGAACGCGAGCTTTGCAAAGAACAATGGTTGCAGAAATGGAGGCTCAAACAAGAGGGAAAAAGAGAGAAGGTGAATAGTGCAAAGAAATGATTCAAAAAGTAGGGTTTTTCCTTGGTGTAAAGCTTTTTTAGGCAGGACTGTTCAAATTACACGAAGTACAAAGACGGCGTGACAGTTGCATTGGGCCAATGAGAGTGCCACGTGTCCGTTGGAATAAGAAGCGATTCAGTTACAAGGACTGAAGGGACGTTTTGACCGGACAGATTGGTAGCACGATGTGAATTTAGCTCGGTTGGAAGGCTAAAGATTTTTTAGCTCGGTTGGAAGGCTAAAGGTTTCTTTAGCTCGGCTGGTAAAAGATAATCCCTATCATGCTGCGCAGATGGAATTAAGGGGCAATTGAGAGGGTAATTTATATGTAAATTGGGCCGAGCTAAGTAGTGGACCGTTCTATGGGCCACGGTAAAAAGGGCCCAGGAGTTAGCCCGGTCATAGAAAGCCTCATAGTTAGCCCAGTCCCAGAGTTAGCCCGATCCCAAAAGGGCTTTGTGGTTAACTCGGTCACCACGGCTAGAGTGACAACAGTTAGCTCGGTCACACCTTTTGAGCCGAGGTATGTAGAAGCCTACCACAAGACCTTGCTATTAGTTAGCTCGATCCAAACTCATCATGGTTAGCACGGTTTCAAACAACCCAGCGGCGAGGTACATGCAGTGAAAGGAAGAACCGAGCTAGTTGAAGCTCGGTCTATTCTGCGGCTTTAGCATGGCCATGTTATCTCGGTCGTATTGACATCCGACCATGGTAAAACCATCTCACTTGGTTTAAGTAGTGAGGGAGGTGTTGAAGGATAAGCATTATTTTTCTGGAAAGTGATTCCTAGGAGGACTCTGCATGGAGAAGTAAGAGTCCTACAAGGATTGTGCCACGTGGAACCTATAAAAGCTCACAACATAACTTATGGGGGAGGTAACACAACTTTGATTCTCGAATACACAGAGCTTTTGTCTATTTGTCTATTTTGCTGACTTAGGCATCGGAGAGGTATCCGGCACACACCCGTCGGCTAACTCACGTTTGTGTTTTCAAGGAGTAAAGCGACGTCGTACGGAGGAACGCAGACTTGATCAACAGGATTATACGAGAAGAATATTTCTTGCTCGTACAGTTTTTATAATCAATTGTAGATTTTCTTTTTCTTTTTTTCTTAATCTATATTCTTGTACAATTTTTCTTTTTAAATTGGTTCTTTTGTGATAGACACTTTGTAGTTTTTAAAATCCTCTTTGTTAACACAATCGCCTAGTTTATTTTGGTTCCAGAATATTATATTAGGGTTGTTTAATAATTGTTGGAAATTACTATATTCACTACAACAAAAAAAACCTTTGGTGACGAACTGATTTTGTTTCCAAATATCAAATTTTCGTCATCAAAGTGATCATTCACTGACTATTTGTTGTCGTAGAAAGTACTTGGTGACAAAAAATCATTTTGTCGCCTATTCTTCATTTTTTGATATAAAAATTTTCGTCTCTAAATGTTGAATTTTTTGTCCTCTATAACATCGATTTCGTCACTATAATTAAATAATATTTTATTTTTAATTGTTTTGGCAACGAAAAGTTTCGTCACAGAATATTAAAATCGAGGTTTTCGTGCTGAAATTTATCCTCACCAATGATATAAATTAAGGTGACAAAACAATTCGTCACTAAAATGAGCACAAAACAAAATTCTTCAATGACAAACAATTTTTCACCAAATATTTCAAGTTAGTGATGAAATATTCAACAAATGTGACGAAATTTTTGTTGAAACTATATCATTAATGACAATTATCCGTCAAGAAAAGTTGTTTGAAAATTAATAGCAATAGTTTTTTATTTCGTCGCTAATAATAATTAACATTTTTAAAAACAGGGATAATATTTTAAATTTTTTATTTTTTTCACTAAATATTCCTTGCACATTTTAATAACATGTTTAATAAAATATCTATTACAGATCAATACAAGAACTTGTTCATTTTCATAAACACCACAGTCGAAATGTGTCTCATAATATCCACAAAAATACAATATTAACTGCGTATTACAAAGCAGATCTCCTAATATCCACAAAAATATAATATCAAGTACAGATTACCAAACATGTCACCTAATATATACAAAAATATAAAACTTTACAACGCAACCAAAATACATGTAATGTAATATTAACAAAAATACAAAATGAGCAAGCTCCTGCTCTCCAGATTACCAAACACGTCCATCTCTAATCTCCAATTGGCAACAAAACAAAACTATAAAAAAAAAGACAATTACTATCTTATCAATAAAATACACAATTTAACATTTTTCGAAAAGTGCATTTTTCGACTTAGTTTTTAAACCGGGAGTTTCGTGCTAGTTCAATAAGCTTTCACAACTTACATTGGTCCCTCCCGAGATGTTTAGGGTGTTTCTCGGGCCTTCTCATCGCTGTTTCACGATTTTGGCCCCCAATGGGCTATTTTCAAGCCTAAGTGTTGGACAAAATATATTTTTTGACTAAGTTTTCAAGCCAGAAGTCCCGTGCTAGTTTTATAAGTTTTCATAACTTACATTGGTCCCTCCCTAGGTGTTTGGGGTGTTCCCCGAGCCTTCTCGTGGCTGTTTCACAATTTTGGCCTCGGATGGCCTATTCTCAAGCCTAAGTGTCGGAAAAGTGCATTTCTCTACTTAGTTTTCAAACAGGGAGTACCATACTAGTTCCGTAAGTTTCCACAACTTACATCGGTCCCTCCCGAGGTGTTCAGGGCGTTCCCCGGACTTTCTCGTGGTTGTTTTACGATTTTGGAGCCCGATGGCATATTTTCAAACTTACGTGCTGGAAAAGTGCATTTTTCTATTTAGTTTGCAAACTAGGAATCCTGTGCTAGTTTCGTAAGTCTCCACAAATTACATTGGTCTCTCCTGATGTGTTTGAGGTGTTCCCCAGACCTTCTCATGGCTATTTTACGATTCCCCTCCCCCCCCCCGATGGTCTATTTTCAAGCCTAAGTGTTGGCAATGTACGTTTTTTTACTTAGTTTTCAAATCGGGAATCTAATACTAATTCCTTTAGTTTTCACAAGTGACATTGGTCCCTCCCGAGATATTCGGGATGTTCCCGTGGCCTTCTTGCGTCTTACACAAGTACTTTCAGAAGAGTCCATGCAACATAGGATGCAAGTATGTTCATGTAACACCTCAGTATGGAAAATCCTGAAATCTTTCCATTGAGCTAGTTTAGAGTTTAGTTTTAGTAACCACATGTACCTTATGACACTCTTGCACCCTTCGACAAGGAGTGAAAAACAGACCAAACATGTATAATAACACAAGGATGAACAGAAGCTGCCAGATGCATTATATATACTTCATAGTAGCTTTCATACATTTAATTTACGCAGCTAACATCAGAATCAGAATAATAATGATGAGCACACATACTTGCATGGAAAATTTCCAAAAACAGGAATACATACATTTGCATATTGGTACTTAATTATGGTTTCAATTCCTCTCTGAACCACTCCGCAAATTCGACAAACATAACCAAGATCATCTTTCAACACAAAAGTACGGTCACACTCATCCTGCTCTTCTTTTATATGTTCATCAGGTGGAGGACTGTCAGTGGTATCCTAAAAGACGGAATAAAGTAGAAATTAACATAGCAAGTTTGAAAATAGGAGAAAACTTTATCAGTCAATGAAAATATGAATCTAACAATACAGGGTTCCGCAATAAGGGTTTCATAATTCACTTTTGAATGTTCCAAGGTACAACATATTATGACAAAATTCACCAAAATTCATTCAAATTAATAAAGAAGTATCTTCACCAAAATTAATAAAGGTTTTATGTTTGTCATACAACATATTATGACAAGCAGTAGAGATTAAGGCCCCATTTGGGATGGTGGTTTTTTGGTTAAAATAGTCAAAAAGCCAAACACCCAATCAAAAAGCCAAAAAGCCAACTAAAATAGTCGCTTCCCAAACGAGCACCAAGTATCCTTCATTTAGGATCTACAGTTATCTGCTGCATTCAAAGCTTAAATCCTATGATAGCTTCTGTTGAAACCAAGAAATGGGTAAGCTCACATATCTGGCCATACTATCGATGATTTAGGCCTCAAATAGATGAGTTCGGATTTGTGAATCCCAAAGGATCCTTGTTTCATGCTATGGTGACTCCAGTTTGAGACAGCTGTTGAACTAAGAGCAGTCACTTGTGTAAGTGTTTAATCAAATAAGCATATGTATGGTGCATACATTGCAAAACAAAAGATTGTATTTTAAATATCATGGACCCAATATCTACCACTTCTTGTGATATTTATGCAAAATTTTGATATGGTGCCATTTTTCATATATGTAATTAGTCTAAGACATTGTTTGACCCAATGCAAATTGAGAATCAAGGGCGTTTACGGCAGCTCCCATCTTATATATATATATATAATAAATAAACAGAAAATAACCATCTTAATTTTGTTTTTATTTCCTCCAAATAGGCACCATCTGGTAGTCAAAGTTGTGTGTAGTGGAATACTAGGGTGGTCTTGTTTTGCAGAATGCATTCCTCAAGACCAAAGCCTTAATTGGAAACTGGCGGGAGAAATTCACTAGACTATAGTGAAACAATAGGGCAACAACACAGCAGCCACGGGAGAAGGTTTGAGAGAAGGAAAAAAAAAAAAAAAAATGTTGCAATGCAAACCACCATGTGCACATTGAGATGAGCCAAAAAAAAGAAGAAAAACAAAAGCTCCCTTCCAAATAACTCAAATCTCCCATAAAACTTACAAAAGAATATTAGGACTTCCTCAACCTCCAAAACCAAAATGTATATATATACACAAATAAATAAAAGTAATATGCAATTATTCTTTCCACTAAGTTCAACAAGTAATCCTCAAAACAACTAAAGGGCACCGTTATCAAAGCCTGTCTATATCTGTTGCTCACAGAACCCATATGCCAATATCCCATCATATCAAGAGATACAATCAAAGACTAAAATCACATTACCAATAGTTTCCTGATGAGAGTCACAACATTTTTTTTTTGTCTTAATGACTTAATTGATCAAAGTATTTTTTTTTTTTTTTTTGAAACAACAAAAAATTTATTGATGATAATCATGAAGGGTACAAGATACATGCATCAATAAATGAATTGGGTGCGAAAAACATCACAATTAATCCAAAGAGACAGAGAGTGTCTCTGCCAAAACAACCAAAACAAAAAATAAAGAAGAGGAAATAAAGAAAAGAGAGTAAGGGAGAGGGATGGGGGTAACCCATGTGGGTTGCTTCTTTTATTGTTTCAATTATTATATACATATATATATATTGGAATAGGTAGAACTTTCTAGATATTTGATAACAAACAACATAACAAAAAAAACACACGGAAATATAAAAGCTAAAATAATCATACCCAGTGTAGTAATTCTTAGGTAGATAAACATCCTTTATCGGACCAAATCGTTCAAATGGGATTTGAAGGTAGAATCATTAGATTTCCTCTTCTTTTTTTTATATATTTTTTTTATTAAGAGTGTAAGAGAATAATAACATTTAAAACAATCATATAATGACAAGCTCGAGGTTTAAACTGATACTTTTTACATATTTAGAAGAAAAACTCACCTACCAAAAAAGACAAAAGGAAATAACAATTTGGGTATATGGGTCTACGGCTCCACTTGCCATGTGGCTCGACCACATCACCACTACATCACCTTCTCCATGTTCTCTAACCACGTGTGAGCCTTGAGAGGTGAAACATGGATCAATAGGCATAAGGTTCTTTGACCCTGCCCCGTTGCCAATTCCTACATAAGGTTCCCATGTCAACCTACCCATCCCCTACACCCACAACCGCAAATCCCATTAAGTTCAGAAAGATTGTGAAGACTGAAAAAATGAACCCCAGTGCCGTGGATCATATTGACATTAGATTGAACCCATACAAATTGGGACAAAAAAGTTTTTGCTAAACCCACTATAAATTCATGAGAAAACGTAACAATGAAATGCTAAACAACAAAGAATCAAATACTTGAGGTAGCCCCTGTAACTATTGGTGAATCTATACAATTCCTATTTGGTTGTTCACATCCAGCCAACATTTTTCTCATTCATCAAATGCCCAAAATTGCTAAACGATTTTACTCATCAAACCATCCCAAAATTTAAATGCAAACTTACAAACCACAAATCAACACACTAAAGTAATAATTATATAAATATGGATATATATATATATATACATAGATCAAGGGATTGAATGATGATAAAAAAAAAAAAAATAGAGAGAGAGAGAGAGAGACCTGGCGTCGAGGGAGATGTTGCGAACGAGGAGACCAGAAGGGACAGGGGAGCGTCGGTCTCTACGAGACCTGGATTCGCGAGGGTCGTCGTATCGCTTGCTAAGCCTTGGGTTGTAGCTTCAGCTTCGGCTTCTGTACCTCCCCATTGCTGTGCTAATCTTCTCTTCTCTTCTTCTTCTCTCTCTCCCTCTGAATTGAAAACCCTAGTTGGATCGTGAAAAACCCTAACCCTAGAAATTATTGGTGCGTGGATAAAGAGAGTTCCACCGAGGAGGGTCTAGAAACAACGATCCTTGAAAATAATTATTATATATATACATCTATCTATCTACACATATATTAAAATTTTATTTTAACTTCATCTTAATATTGTATAATATAAAATAATATAATTTTTCTCATCACAAATATACATTTTGTTTGATGGTACACGTCATGAGTATTCGCAACCCTCTTATAATAACAACAAGAAATAATTACGGATGAAACATAATTTAATCAATTAGATCCAAAATGAATGAAATTTAATAATCTAAAATAAATTTTGATTGAGATTAGATTACAAAATATTTTAGATGGACTCAAGATGGTCCCTACCATTTATATAATTAAAAATGACTAAACAGTTAAATAAGATTTACATACGTAAATCCAAATTACAATGTCATAGGTCTTAAAATCCAAAACTTCAACACCAAAATTCTGCTATAAACTAAAATGAACGCCATTCTATCCATCAATTTTGGAAAATAAATATACATCATTTAAATTTTGAAATTTTTTTTTTTGGTCATTACAAGAGTAGAGAGAGAACAATATGCTTGCTTAGATATGCAATGTCGAAGGCAGTATTAAATGATGAGAAGGGGCGACGACAGCAGGAAGTAGAAGGGTAGATGGGAGGAAGGAGTTATTGTGTGTGTTTGTGTGTGTGTTTTGAGAGAGAGAGAGAGAGAGAGAGAGAGAGAGAGAGAGAGGGGAAAACAGCTAGATAAAAGGTGGAAAAATTTAGTGAAAACAGCTAGATAAAAAGGTGGGAAAAAATTAGTAGCCTATTTTATTTTTCATTGCCACTTAATTTTCCCTTCGAAATTGGTGACAAAATTATTTCTTCACCAAAAGAAAAAATTATTGACCACGAAAATAATTTTCTCACTAAATGATATCAAAATATTAAAAATTATTTGTGACGAAAATATATTTGTCACAAATAATTTTATAATTGGTGACCAATTTTTTCTTCACCAAAAGTCTCAAAATTTTGGTGCCACCCAAAAAAATTAGCGGGAAAATCTTTTGTGACAAAAAAATAAAAATATTGACAAAAAATAATTTTGTCACCTAATTTTTTTATTATATATGTAGATTGGTGATGAATTTTTATTTTTCTCTCTACAAATGGTATATTTGGAGACGAAATATTATTTTCTTTATTAAAAGGTACATCCTTAGTGACAAAATTTATTTTCGTCAGTAATTTTCGTCTGTAAAGACTCTTTTTGTTGTAATGATTGTTATTCGATTGAAAAAACAAGCTATTAATGGAAAAATAAAATCAATTTTATAATCAGGTAATAGCTTTTTATTCATTATTAATCAACAAATGGATTTTCTCTTCATTTGGATCTAACGACTCATTCGGATCTAATGATTGAGACTAATTAGTGTTGGAATATGGTCGCCAAAATCACCAAATTTTTCAAGCAAACAAAAGAGTGGCCAAAAATCAAGCAAAAATTATCACTAATGCTATGAAATTTGAAAAAATTATTCGAAACGTTATATTAAATTTAAATCTACACTACAAGCTTATTTTTTTAATAATTTTTCAGACTATGCTATGAAATTTGAAAAAATTATTTGAAACGTTATATTAAATTTAAATCTACACAACAAGCTTATTTTTTTAATAATTTTTCAGACTTTTTAAAAGTATTTATATTTTTTAAAATTATTTATGTGACAACCTAACCAGTTAGATCTCATGTGTGACCACACCAATAAACAACCTAAATTCTTTATGGGTTAATGAATAATGCTCCAAATGAAGAAAAAGAAATAGGAAGTCGGCTATTGATCACCAACTAGTCATCATTTGTTTTCTCTACAAGGTTTCTGACTAACATACAATTTGAGTGGGAAAGAAAGTCTAACAACGTATCACCTACTAGTCATTGGTGGACTTCTTTTTTGCAAGATTTTGAGACAAGTAACCAAAAAGTAGAGAGAGAGTCAACATATGGTCACCTAATGGTCACTTGAATACCAAAAAGAACTCATAATTACTTTTACACAAAATAAAAGAAAATAAAATGTCTCTTTATCAAAATTATTTTAATTGTGACCTTTAAATAAAATTTCGTAGTATCAAAAAATTAAAATTAAAGTGCAATTATGAGGAGTCCCAATTAAAATTTTACTTCAAACTTCAAATAAGATAGACCTGCCACTTTGAATCTCGAGATGTATTAGACATGAAAAATGCTTGGGACCCCTTTTTGTAGTGACTCCTACAATCTCTTTTGGATCTCAACCATTGATGTATATGTGGGACCCACAATCCCCTTTAGATCTCAACCATTGATGTATATGTGGGACCCACTCATGTATATATGGGGCCCACACCATCAATAATTAAGATTCAAAGAGAATTTATGAGGGTCTTTAAGAAAAGAGGGTCCCGATCATTATTAATTAGACATAGTGACTTCAACCAATTAGGCCTTTCATTTTTCCAGAGACAATATCATATTTTTAGCGTCCAACAAATTGAAGAAGTTGCTGATAATACTTTTTTTATATTATATTTGATCTAATATTATATTTGATCTATTACATGATATGATGTGTCATCAATGTATTTGTGACGGATCCCATTAAATTAATGTACCAATAAAACAGGAGATGATGAAAACTTTTTAGTACATAAACATGGTAAATTATTGGTTGCTTATATATCATTCCTTAAGATTTGTGACTCTTTAAAATTTGGTTTTACATAATGAATTTGTGGAGGAATTTATCAAAGAAATAAAGATTAAAGAGAAAAAAAAAAGTTTATTTCTTTTATTATATTATCATGTTCACCTTTTGGTTTACTTTCCCTTCATAAATTATTCTATAAATTCATGATCTAAATACAAATTTAAAAAATAAAATAACATAAAATAAAGAAAAGTGACAAGCTTAGTTGACAGTAAGGGCTCAATTTGGGTGGGCTCAACTCGACTAACCCAAGCCCAACCCAAATTTTTTTAGAATTTGGACAAGATATTTTTGAATTCAATACGAGCTTGAACAAAAATTTAAAAGCCTGAATTAAATTTGGATGGGCTTGAATAAAGATATCAAACAAACCCGAAACTTGAATTATACATATAAATATATAAAAATATTTAATACACATAAAATTATTATCCATCAGATGATATTAAAGTAATTTAGATTGTTAAATCATATTGAATATTTATTATTGTAACACCCTATCTTTTATTACTCGAATGATATTACCATATCCTTTAATCAATCCATTTTAATAATGATAAACATGTAAAAGCAATAAAGAATGAATAATTTACAATGTCCTCTCTGGTATACACACAATGAATTATAATACGTGTCCATAGGCTTACATCACCAAATATTGATAAATGAAATAATAAAGAAATTAATCCTTTTACATCATATTTGCATTCCGCCTACAAATATAAGGTCTCATGGCTAACAAATAAAAAACTTCAAGTCTTGTGCAAGTCTTCACTCCATACCTGAAAATGATTAGTAACATGGGATGAATACAAAGGTCTAGTAGAGATCCCAATAATCATAAACAATAGCAACATATAGATAGCTATGATCATAAATACTCCCCGTATATCCATATATTGGTTATGTGACATTTCATATCTCAAAATATACTTACATAAGTACATTTTCCCAAAAGATCTGCTTTAACAGGATAAGAAAACCACTTCTTATCATTTTTTCTTTCTATTTTAATTCAAAAGAATCACACTGTAACTTTTATTTTTCGGAAAGCAAATTTACACATTTAAAAATAAACTCTCATGCATACTAACTATCTCTATTATGAATCTCAACCATTAATTACATTACTACAACCTCATAATTTAATTAGACAATTAATCCGCTATGTATGTCAAGACATTACAGTTGCAA